GATATTTCTGGATTTCCTTCATCCCGATATTCCCTGAGAGCTCTGAGGGGAATTCCCCTGGAAATCTCTGAGGGAGAAATTCCCCTCATGGAAATCCCTTAATCCTGGTTTTCCATTGGAAATCTCTGATGGGAATTCCCTCCTGAATTTCCTTAATCCCAATATTCCCTTGGATCTCTGAAGGGAATTCCCTCATGAAAATCCCTTAATCCTGGTTTTCCATTGGAAATCTCTGAGGGAAATTCCCTCCTGGATGTTCCCTGATCCCGATATTCCCATGGAAATCTCTCCCTCAGATCCCCAAATCCCATTTTTCCCTCCCTCCTTCCCAATCCCATTCCCAAATCCCATTTTTTCCCTCTTCCCTTTTGATTTCCTTTCCCATTTTCCCCCTATTTTGTCCTTCCCATTGCTCAAATCCATGGAAAACTCATCGGGAAAGATCCGATCCCATAGATATTCTGGGAATTTCCTCGTTCCCAACCCTCATTTTTTGGGAATATCCCACTAAATCTTTCTTTTCTTTCTCTTCCAGGACAAAACCAGAGAATCATCCCGAAAATCCATGGAAAATCCAAATTATCCCAATTTCCCCTCATTTTCCTTGTAATTTCCTGCAATTTCCAACCTTCTAAATCCCATCTTTTTTTTGGGAATAAAACCCATTCCAAACTTTCCCGCCTCGAGCGGGAATTTTCCATTTCCCTTCCCGCATGGACAGAGAAACCTTGGATTTTCGCCTCGAGCGGGAATTTTCCATTTCCCTTCCCGCATGGACAGAGAAACCTTGGATTTTTCCACCTCTTTTTTCCAGGATTTTGAGAATTCTCCGGAAGATTTTCCCAGGGATCGGGTGGATTTTATCAACAAATCCGATTCTTTCACGTATTCCCAGTTTTTCCGGGATTATCTCCTTCCCAACCGTCCCTGCGTCTTCTCGGCCGAGTTCACCAAGGATTGGAGCAGTCGGAAATTCTGGGTCACTCAGGATGGGAAACCCGACCTGGAGAGGCTCCTGCAGGAATTCCAAGGTAAATCCGGGAATTTTTTCCCAAATCTTAAAGGATGGAATTTATTAGGATTGAATTTTAGGGATGAAAACGCAAAAAACCCCGAAATTCCAAGGTTTTTCTCATAATATATGGAATTTTTTTCCAATTTTTTCTTGGTCTGGTTTGCAGATTGGAAGGTGAAATTTATTCCCAAATTTTATTTCTTATTCCTATTTCCATCAATTAAAAATCTTGGATAATTTAATGATTCCAAATCCTAAACAATGAAGTTTTTAGGAATTCATTTTAGGGATAAAAGCAACAAAACCCCAAAATTCCAAGGTTTTTTCTTGGATTAATCCATGGATTTTTTTCCCATTTATTCCCAAATTTTATTTCTTATTTCTATTAAAATCCATTAAAAATCTTGGATAAATTAATGATTCCAAATCCTAAAGGATGGAATTTATTAGGATTGAATTTTAGGAATAAAAACACAAAAAACCCTGAAATTCCATGTTTTTTCCCCATAATATATGGAATTTTTTCCCATTTTTTATTGGAAGATTCCAAGGTGAAATTTTAGGAATAAAAACACAAAAAACCCTGAAATTCCATGTTTTTTCCCCATAATATATGGAATTTTTTCCCATTTTTTATTGGAAGATTCCAAGGTGAAATTTATTCCCAAATTTTATTTCTTATTTTAATTAAAATCCAATAAAAATCTTGGAAAAAATAATGATTTCAAACCCTAAAGAATGGAATTTATTTGGATTGAATTTTAGGGATAAAAACACCAAAAAATTGAAATTCCAAGTTTTTTCTTGGATTAATCCGTGGATTTTTTCCCATTTATTCCCAGATTTTATTTCTTATTCTTATTTCCATCAATTAAAAATCTTGGATAATTTAATGATTCCAAATCCTAAAGGATGGAATTTATTAGGATTGACTTTTAGGGATAGAAACACAAAAAACCCAAAATTCCAGATTTTTTCTTGATTTAATTAATGGATTTTTTTTTTCCCATTTATTCCCAAATTTTATTTCTTATTTCGATTAAAATCAATTAAAAATCTTGGATAATTTAATGATTCCAAACCCTAAAGGATGAAAGGACAAACCCAGGAAATTAATTCATTAAAGGATTAAATTAATAGAGAGATAACAAATATAAAATATAATTAATGTTAAAATATTTCTCATTAATTTGAATTTTCTTTCTACACAGAATAATTATTAACGAATCACTGATTAATTAAGGAATATTTATGAATATATTTTAATATTAAATCCTAATTACTGCCTTGCTCCTAATGAGATTTTAAAGGAAAATTCCCTTTAAAGGAAAAAAATGGAGAAATTCAGGAAATGGGGAAGAAAGCCAGGAAATTAATTAATAAAATAATTAAATTATTAAAAATAAAATGATGAAAAACCACAATGAACGTTAAGATATTTGTAATTAATTAGAATTTTTTTAATAAAATAATTAGTAGTTAATGAGAATTAAAAATTCTTTGTGAATTGCAGGTTAATTAAGGAATGTTTATGGATGTATTTGAATATCAATCCCTAATTAATGGAATTGAGGAGGAAAATCCCCTTTCAAATCCCAGAAAATAATTAATTAAACAATAAAATTAATAGGTAATGAGTATAAAAATATAATGAACATTTAAATATTCATAATTATTTTGATTTTTTTCTATGCTGAATATGAGCCATCAATTAATTCATATGTATGAATTATTAATTAATCACCAATTAATATTAATGATTTAATTTTAATAATAAATCCATGAGCAAATTTAAATAGTCATGTATATTTATGATGCATTTTAATATTATTTTATAATTATGAAGCCAATTAAATATTAAATAAAACCAATTAAATATAAAACATTAATATGCATGAATGTAGTTAAATATTCATATTTGTGAACATGCTTGAATATTAATTCTATTTATGAGCTCATTTGCATATCAGTACTCTTTAAGAATGCATTTTAATATTTGTTAATGGGGCTATTTGAATATTTTATGGACCATTTGCATATTCATATTTATGACATCATTTTAATATCTCATGTTTAATAGGAAACATAATTCACACTTATGACCTCATTTGAATATTGGCATTAATTAACACATTTCAATTCTTGTTTGTATATGAGGTGATTTGAATATTCATGCATGTTGATGGCCTCATTTGCATAATCCCTCCGATCTGGGTTCGCCTCCTCCGGCTGCCCCAAGGCCAGAATTCCGGGAATCATTCCCGGCCCCCTGCGGCTTCTGGAGCACAATTCCCAAGGGATCTCTCCCTGATTCCCAAGGGATCTCGATTCCCTTGGGATCTCTCCCTGATTCCCTTGGGATCTGTCCCAGATTCCCGCTGATCTGTCCCTGATTCCCAAGGGATCTCTCCTCAATTCCAATGGGATCTCTCCCTGATTCCCAAGGGATCTCAATTCCCTTGGGATCTCTCCCTCATTCCCTCAGGATCTCTCCCTGATTCCCGCTGATCTCTCTTTGATTCCCTCGGGATCTCGATTCCCATGGGATCTCTCCCTGATTCCCTTGGGATCTCCCCAATTCCCGCTGATCTCTCTCTGATTCCCACAGGATCTCCCCCTGATTCCCACGGGATCTCTCCCCGATTCCCACTGATCTTGATTCCCATGGGATCTGTCCCTAATTCCCTCGGGATCTCTCCCTGATTCCCTTGGGATCTTTCCCTAGTTGATTCCCATGGGATCTCCCCCCGATTCTTGCTGATCTCTCCTCGATTCCCACGGGATCTCTCCCTGATTCCCGCTGATCTCTCCCTGCAGGAGCAGCCCCGGTGCCGGTGGCCAACTGTGACCTTCGGGAATATAATTCCCACCCCAAGGAGCTGCTGCCCTTCCCGGAATTTGTGGAATATTGGCGGGAATTCATCAGCAACGGGCACCGCTCCTCGCGCGGCTGCCTCTACCTCAAGGACTGGCACCTGAGCAGGTCCTTCCCGAAATTCCTACCGGGAATGTTCCCCTGGACAGGGATCCTGGGAATCCTCAGGGCTCCTTCCCCAAATTCCCACCGGGAATGTTCTCCTGGACAGGGATCCAGGGAATCCTCAGGGCTCCTTCCCAAAATTCCCACCGGGAATGTTCTCCTAGACAGGGATCCAGGGAATCCTCAGGGCTCCTTCCCAAAATTCCACTCTGGGAATGTTCTGGGTTCCTCGGGGCCCCTTCCCAAATTTCCACCCCGGGAATATTCTCCTGGAGAAGGATCCAGGGAATCCTCAGGACTCTTCCAGGGCTGGAAGGAACTCCGGGAGAGCCCAGGAAGGATTTGGGATCAGGCAGGGAATGGCAGGAGTCAGGGAATGACTTCCTCTTCCTTCCTGTGGGATTTTGGGAAAGAATTCCTGTCTGGGCTGGAATTCCACAGGGTTTGAACTTTTAAGATCCCAAAAATTCCATAATTCCAGGATTTCCAATCGCTCCAATTGGAGGCAAAGCAAGGGAGAGGAGAAAAAAAAATCCAACATTCCCTGAGGGATCTCTGAGGGATTCCCAAGCTCCAAATTCCCAAAATTCCCGATTTTCCAGGCTGCTGGCATTCCCAGTTTTTATTCCAAGCTCCAATTCCATTTGGGAAGGAATTCCTGGCTGGGAGGGGCTGGGCTGGAATTTCCTGGAATTCCCTGAATCCCTGGAAGTGGCCACGGTTGGGATGGTGGGAATGGCCCTGGGATGGGATGGGATAGGATCAGTGGGATGGGATGGGATGATCCCAAAATCCCGAACTGGGGAAATTGGGATCGGGATTGGGATTGGAACTGAGATTGGGATTGAGATTTGGATTGGGATCAGGATTGGAAATGGGACTGGGACTGGGACTGGGATTGGGATTGGAACTGCAATCAGGACTGGGATTTGGATCGGGATCAGAGTTGGGACTGGGATTGGGATTGGAGCTGGGATTGGGATCAGAGTTGGGATTGGGATCAGAGTTGGGATTGGAAGAGGGATTGGGATTGGGATTGGAACTGGGATTGGGATTCAGATTCAGACTGGGATATGAATTGAAATTGGAACTGGAATTGGGATCGGGATTGGAACTGGGATCAGGATTGGGTTTGGAACTGGGATTGGGATCGGGATTGGAACTGGGATTGGGATCGGGATTGGAATTGGAAAGGGGATTGGGATCAGAGTTGGGACTGGGATTGGAAGAGGGATTGGGATTGGGATTGGGATTGGAGCTGGCATTGGGATTGAGATTCAGATTGGGATTGGGATTGAAATTGGAACTGGGATTGGGATCGGGATTGGAACTGGGATTGGGATTGGGACTGGGATTGGGATTGGGATTCAGATTGGAATTGGAACTGGGATTGGGATTGGGATTGGGATTGGGATCGGGATTGGGATTCAGATTCAGATTGGGATTGGGATCAGGATTGGGACTGGAACTGAAATTGGAACTGGGATCACGATTGGGATTGGGAGTGGAAATGGAATTGGGATCGAGATTGGGATCAGGATTGGAACTGAGATTGGAATTGAGATTGAAATAGGGATTGGAATTGGAATAGGAATTGGGATTGAAATTGGGATTGGGGTTGGAACTGGGATTGGGATTTGAATTGGGATTGGGATCGGAATTGGAACTGGGATTGGGATTGGAACTGGGATCAGGACTGGGGCTGGGATTGGTACTGGAACTGGGACTGGGATTGGGACCAGGATTGGAATCAGGATTGGGATTGGGATTGGGATTATTCCATGGCTCTGTTGGATTTGGGATCCTTGATCATCCATCGACTTTTCCAGGAAATTCCCA